CCTTCAACAGGCCCCCGAAAGACCTCCCACGACATCCCGACGAACATCCCAAAGACCTGTGACCCACCACCCAGGCACGGTGGCGAGATGGGCCGAAGATCATTACATTATGTGGTTGTCTGATCCTCGGTCCTCCTAAAGACCTCTCTAGGGGCGCGTTCTGGCCAGGACTTTGGGCGAATCCAGCCGTGGCGACGAGGAAAGGGTAGCGGCGTCGGTAGATGTTCCTCCTCTACTGTTAGAGGCCTCCCCAATGGGGTCTGAATGGGTAAGGTCGGAAGATCGCGCCGCATCGCCGATACTTTCGCGATGCATCGACGACGCATTGGCCATGAATTGGGGACGCCGTCGATACATCGGCGACGTCGGCGTGGAGAACATTGGGCTCCGCCGATACATTGGCGATGCGGCGGGATCTTCCGACCCCATCTACTCAGACCACGTCTGGGAGGCCCACATCTGTACGCTTCCTCTGTTCCCCTGTTCTGTGCCCAAAGGCCTCCGAAGTAGGGTCCGGGTAGATGTGGACGGAGGATCGCGCCGCATCGCCGATGCATCGCCGATGCATCGGCGATGCATCGGTGCTGCATCGGCAACGTCGGCGGTGCATCGGCGACGTCGGCGTGGAGACAAACGGGCTCCACATCGAGTCGCATCGGCGATGCATCGGCGATGTGGCAAGATCCTCCGACCCCATCTGCTCGGACCACATCTGGGAGTTGGGCGCCCGAGTTATCCGGGGTAACTCGGGCCCGGGGTAACTCGGGTTTGGATTCCCGAAAAACGAACCCGAGCTAGCCCTGACCCGAGTTACCCCTGATGATTCGGGGCTCTGGACGCCCGAGTTATCCGGGGTGACTCGGGCCCAGGGCAACTCGGGCTCGGAGTCCCGAAACACGAACCCGAGCTAGCCCTGACCCGAGCTACCCCTGATGATTCGGGGCTCTGAGGGAGGTCTTGCTAGGGGGCCACATGTGAACCCTACCCCTACCCCCACGATTTTTGAGGGGGAGGGCTCGCCTGTGGCCCCCTCCTTGCGTTCCGCGGTCCTCCCCCTCCGAGATGACCTTCGCCTGGAGGCCCGAGAGCATCTCGATCACCTTCGCCACGGGGCTGCCCGTCGCTGGGAGCGCGGCGGTGGCCACCACGGCCAGCACCATGGCGGAGGCCATCTTCATTGCGAGCGCCGGCCGCGCGCACCGAAGGGGAACGTCCTGACTACCTACCAGACCACCCCAACCCAACCCGAAGACCCGAATTTCGGGTTGGGGGGGGTAAGGGTTCCACATGTGTTTTTGTCGATGTTTCCCGACTCCCCCCCCTGGAAATCGAGGGTGAATCTGAGCCTTCGGGTTGGGTTGGGGTGGTTTGGCGGGTGGTGACGTCCGGGAACTCCAGGCTCGAAACTCGAGGTGGTTGTCGGACGTGTCTTCGTTGGCTCTTGGGGCAGATTCCAGCCTCGGGATGCGTTCCATTACCAGCCTGGAACACATCCCTATCCCTGTGCTGGGCACCTCCTCATCACGATGCCAATCTTAGGGATTCCCTTATCTTTTGAGGGCGAATCCCTAAGATTGTCATCGCCTTTTGGCGTGTCAATCTTAGGGATAAGGATACGTTCGAGGCTGGTAGTTCCAACAGATGCGCCGTGTCCAGAGCGCTCCCGGGGTGCCGGGGTCGTCCCGAACGGCCGCCAGAGACCTGATTCGTGAACCACAAGCTAGAAACGACGAGGATCTTTGAAGGGGGCAGGCCCTCTCGGAAAGCGGCGGGGCGGCGAGAAAGCCCTCCGGCCTTCCGAGAAACCCCTTGCGGGGCTTCGAAGACTTGGCACGCCCGAAATGGGTACGGAAAAAACTGGCACGATACCCGACAGCAAATGTGATTCAACATTGACAGCGGCCGCCGTTGGGCGGGCGTCTGTCTGTCTCAACTTGACCACGTCCGCCACAACACCGACAGCGAGCCCTGCTCAGAATGGGCAGGACCTGCTGTTGGTGTTCGTCCGCTTCTTGGCGGCGCGCAAGGAGGTGGAAAGAAATGGGGGAAGGCTCCTTAGAAGGAGGCTGCTTCTTCGAAGGCGCCGGCCTGGCATCTACAGAGTAGGGCCGCGCCTTCTAAGGAGCAAAGGGGTGTTTCTGAGAAGCCCTCCCCCCCTCCCCCCTGCCCCCCCCTCCGCGCGTGGCTGACCTTCTTTCCGCACCCATGCCGACCGTACGGATCGACTGCACATCTTCCCAGGAGTCAGCCGGAGCCCCCCCCTGCTGGCCATCGCTCGGACGTCGATTCCCTATGCTTTTGTCGGCTTCGTGCGTGGCTTTTTCGCCAAATGATCAAGGATGCTCCTCGATGTTCCTCGCCGAAGGAAACATGCACACGTCCGAGCGACGCCAGGCCCTGAGCCTCCCGAGAAGGCCCGCCCTGGGCTCTGCCTTCCCCCCCCCAGGCGCGCCGCCGCGAGCGGGCCGAAGTCGGTGCCCCGCGGGGTGGCAGACGGTGGAAGCTGCAGCAGATACTGGCTGCAGCGTGGAATTCGAGCGTCGCGGGCCCGCGGATGGAGCGTCGGGGGGCTAACTAGCGTCGAGGGGTCGAGGAAATTTTGTCTGGGGGGGAGTTATCTTTGAGGGGGGGGGGACCTGGGACGGGAGGGTCGGCTGTAAGGCTGGCCGTCGTCGCCGTCGCCGTCCCTCCTCCTCCTCCTCCTCCTCCTCCTCCTCCTCCTCCTCCTCCGTCTCCTCCTTTTCCTCCTCCTTCTCCTCCTCCTCCTCCTCCTCCTCCTCCTCCTCCTCCTCCTCCTCCTCCTCCTCCTCCCTCGCCCGCCCGCCCGCCCGCCCGCCCGCCCGCCGCCCGCCCGCGCCCGCGCGCGTCCCTCTCTCCCTCCCTCCCTCCCTCCTCCTCCTCCGCCCCCTCCTCCTCCACCTCCTCCCTCCTTCTCCCTATTCCTCCCTCCTCCTCCAGCCCATCCTGCGGCGCCCTCGCGGCCACGGGTGGGTCCGCCTCGAAAGCCTGGCCAGAGCGCGCCCCATCAGAGGTTCGGGGGGATGTTTTGAGGGGGGAGGGGGAAAAGAAAAGGATGAAGAGGAGGAGGAGGAGGAGGAGGAGGAGGAGGAGGAGGAAGAGGAGGAAGAAAAGGAGGTGGAGGAGGAGGAGCTCGACCCTGTCGTGGCGAAAGCGCTGCTCGTGGTTTACGGAGGAGCGGCGCGCGGACCGATCGCCACGCTTCTTGGTGCCTGCCAGCGGCAGGTGAAGCCAGCCATGGCTGCACCCTCCCCCCCCGCGGGCATCGCCCAGGCACCACCTCGGCCCTGCCGGCATGGCTCCATCTCGCCGCCCGCCCCCGCGCAGCTGGGCCCCCCAAGCCCTCCGCGAGTGCTGCCGATGTACCCTCTGGCCAGTCCTGCGGCCAGCCTCCACCGTTGGCTCAGCTGCGCCAGCCCCCGCCGCCATGGCGCGCCGCCAGGCCCTGCGCTCCAGGGCCCTCGCGCCCGCGGGGCCTGCCGCGCCGACTGCTGCGCGCGCTGCCACGGACGCGCGGAGCCGGCTCGCGGAGGGGGGGGGGGGGGGGCAAGCTACGCCGAGGCATCCAGTGATGCTCGGGAGCATGACGTACACATGCTTGCGTCGCGGGCGCCAGGCGCACCCGCGGGGCCGCGCAGCTCTGGCCTGCCGCCGCCGCAACAGCCTGGGCGCCCGCCCGCGGCGGGGCAGCAGCCAGCCCGCCTCCTTCTGGACCGGCCCGGCCCTACCCCGCGGCCTCGCCACCTCGCGCCACGGCCCGGCGTCGGAGCAGCCACAGAGCGCAGCCCATGGTTCCCCCCTGGGCGCCCCCTGCGCCCAGGGCCGCCCCGCCCGACGCCGATGAGGACCGCCGACTCATGCCGCCATGCGTGGGCGGCCGCGCCATGACAGAGAAGGACATCCTATTCATGTGTGATTCCCACCCTGCGGACACTCCATCCTATGTCCGCGCAGACCAAGCCAGCTACCTGCGGGGCAATGGGGGCCAGGTCATCGGCTTGGTGCTTCGGCCGCTAAACAGGGGTGGTGCCTTGAATTTCTGGTTCAGGCAACAGACCATTCCAATTGCAGGAAACCAGCGCACAGGCGAGGCTTTGCTGGCGGCGGTGCCTTGGTGGACGGCGCCCATAGGCCCTGCTGCGCCTGCCGCTGCTGCTAGCCCACTTGGCCTTGCAGCCGTGCTGCACCCGTGACATTCATCGGTCACCATCCGTGTTCCTGGTGCCCTCTGCCTGCTCATCTTTCCCCTCTGCCGTCCCCTGATTGTTCTCTCGTCCTCCCCTCCCCGCCCTCTCTCCCTCCGTTCTTGTTTCCTCCCTCCCTCCCTTCCTCCCGCCTTCCCTTGGTCCCTTCTCTTTCCCTCCCTCCCCCTCCCTCCCTCCCCCTCCCCTTCCGCGCGGGGGCGGGAGACACTTGATGGAGGAACAGATAGGGACGCGACTTCTAGGTGGCCCCCCAGAAAACCGTGGCGACCGACAGCGTAGTCTGCCGGCTTCCCCTTGGTGCACCAAAAGCGCCCGCGCACTCGGGAGGGCGACTGGGCCGAGCAGAGGGCACTTGCCCAGCCGCCGACCGCCGCCCCGACGCAAGCGCAGCCGGGCCAATGGGCGCTGGGCTGGGCACAGCACTCGCCGCCGCTCGGGGGGACCATACCAGAACCTGCTTTGCCCAGCGCAGGCCGAACTCCCCACTCGGGGTTTTCAGAACCAGAACCAGAACCAGGAGGAGGAGGAGGAAGAGGAGGAAGAGGAGGAGGAGGACCTTTTGGACCTTTTGACCAAGCACAAGGCGTGCGGGGGGGCGGGGGGGGAGAAGGGGGAGGAAAAAGAACGCGGGACCCCACCCCACCGCCACCCCCGCACCTCCCACTGGCCAGCTGGCCCTCCAAGGGAGGGCCCGTTAACCAGCGGGCGGGCGCCGCACGCGCAAACAACCTCTCAAGGCCACCGCGTTCACGCGCATCGAGGGCAGCTTGTAAAGGCTTAGGCACCCCTTCTCTGCGGGGGTACTTGCCTCCCTCGATGCGGCTTAAATTCTCTCGGCCCTTGCGGGAGAGGCCCTCGCATCTCGCCGCGAGGTGGCGCCCATCGACCGTGGCGTACTTGCCACAGGTGGTGCAGAAACTCAGGAGGTAACGCTCCCATCTCTGGACGGTATGAGAGGGGCGCACATCCCTTCCAGCCGCCAAGCCCCCGCTACTCGCCCCCAGTCCAAGGAGAGGGAGGCCAGGGCACTGGGTCTTGGCGGCTTCGATGAGACGAGACACGGGCACTACAATATCGCAACGCCTGCACCTCCATGAGCCCTCTGCTTGCTCGAAGCAATGGCTGGAAGCCTGCAGTACACGCTGCCTCCTCGAGGGGGGGGGGCTCTACGCTGCACCGTGGCCCGCACCCCCCTCCATGGGTCAGCCCCGCACCCCCCCCTCCAAGGCTCGCCTCGCACGAGCTCGAACCAGGGTGCCAATCGCATCCCAGTGGTCAGTCTGAGGCTCGCCCCCTTCCACCGACACCGCCCACCCTCTCCCCGCCGCAGCCCCCGCCTCTTCATCGGCCAGGGCGTTGCCCTGAATTAAGTAGGGGTCGATCGGCTCGCTGAGAGAGGTGGCTTCGTCCATATGCGAAGGGGTCCAGTTCAAGTTCACCTCCGACGACCGAGCCTGGAGTGCCCCCCGAATTCGAGACCACAAATCTTGATTTGAACCGTTCTTCTGGAACTGCCGACCCTTCCCCCATGCTTTCATGAGGGGCTCGTGGTCAGTAACAAACAGAAACCGCTCGGGGACATGCTCAAGTGCGATGGCAAACGCGAGCAGCTCCGCTCGAGGGACCGTTTGACGCTGCCCCCCGACAGGAGTCGAACAGCCCCATGCTAGCCTCCAGCCCCCTTGGCCGTCTGGCTGCATTGCGATCACCGCAGTACCACACCTACGCCTACGTGGCTCCGCACTGTGCCCCCCCCCCCCGATTCGTCACCGAAAACCACCACACTCCCAAAGTTGGGATGCGGTTCAACCTCGGAAATCGGGAGCGGCCCCAAGGACAGGAGGTTTTCTTCTGGAAAAACCAAAAGATGGGTGTAGCTCTTAGGCGGAACTCCCCTGAGCCACAAAACTGGGCAACTCTCCCACTGCACCTGGGCCTGCTGCCTGATA